AGAGAGAGAGAGAGAGAGAGAGAGAGAGAGAGAGAGAGAGAGAGAGAGGGGGGGGGTTTAAAAATTAGCGTTGAATGAATGATGAATAATTTTTTAGCAGTTTCTGTGTCAACTTTCAATTTGTAAAACACCCGAAACATTCCAATACCTTCCCCCTGCCCTGTGGTGTGGATAAGAGTGAGAAAAGAGGAGGGAAAGGACGGGGTTGAGGTGGTTGGAAAAAGGGCGGGAACGTTCACTGTCCTGCGTACCAGTGTACTCAGAGAGAGGCACTGACTCGAAAAAAATAACAACCAACAGGCAGTAACCATGGCTCAATGATCAGCTGACGCAAGGCAACAAGGAATCGAACCGCACCAATCACAAAATCATACCGAGCCTTATCATTATCTCTGGAGCACGACGGAGCGGAGGGCGAGCAAAAGGAGCTCTGCGGCGTGCATTCAGTCGCGTTATTATTGGGTTGTAGTCGGCACAGAGGCGCGGCGAGACCTGCTGCTGGAGGACGCCCGCCCGCCCCACAGCCCGCACCAGCCCAGTGGGTGCGACGAATTCTGCATAATCCGACGCTTTTCTGGAGTCAGGGGGAGCGTTGGGGCTGGCTAAAGCAACACTACCTCAGACACACAAGTTGCTAAACCCACACGCAGGTTTGTCGCTCTCGCCCGCTCCCACTCTGCCAACACATACGCACCACTACACAATATTACTGCGTACGACAACGCTGAGGTATAAATATGCCGAAAAGACCTCTGGCGTACCCCTTTTCCTTCCGTATAGGTCCTCCCGTTCTTAAAGAAGTCATCTTCCTTAACCACCTTCGCTCTGCTCGGCTCGACCTCCCTGATGACGGCCAGAGGGCTCGGTGCTTGGCAGGGTAGGGGCGGCGGCGGCGGCCGCAGCGGGTGGGGCTGGGGTGCGGGGGAAGTGCCATCATCTGGCGTGTTATTAGCCTAAACGCTGGGTGGGCCACCGAGCGGGCCACCACATCGGGCGGGCTCGCTGTGGTGGGGCGGGGCCCCGCCGGCCCATCACAACGCCAACAGGCGCAAAGCGTCGTGCCCACCCCCA